ATAGTGAGATACTTCCACCAGAAGCCAATTAGCTTATTCTTAAAGACACCCGGAGACGACACAATTTCCTAAGGTTATGCTGTTTGGCCTCTTTTATCAGAGAATTTCAACTCTCCACTCATGGACTTTCTCAGTGAACAAATTACTCACTGAGCACCTGTGATGTGCCAGGCAAGGTTTCCTGGGACGGGCACATGTCATTTCTCAGCTGGGCTTTCTCAGCGGTCTGTCTCTGGTCTCTCTCCCTACTGTCCTTCTTTGTAGATCACACCACTATTGTTACCTCCATTTTAGCTTCTAAACTACATATCTGATCCCGTCATTCCCTGTTGAAAATGTGGATGGCTTACCTGTGTCTACAGGTAAACACGAATTCCTTAGCAAGGGATACATGGTCATAAACCATCGTTCACATGGGGTTTTATCTATCTCTCCAGTCACATCTCAGGTTCTCTTTTTCCATGCAATCTACATTTCTGCCAAACTGGACTGCTGGCTATAACCCAATGTCCTGTGGGTTTTCAAACCCAAGCCTTTGCTTATTACCTGACCAAGAATTTACACACTCCTACTCCTGACTCATCTGCCAAAATTCTATTTGTCCTTCGAGGCCCAGTTCAATATTGCTTTCTGTGTGAAGTTTTTACTGATCCTGTTTGGCCAAAAAGATGGTTCACTCCTCTACGCTCATATAACACTTTGTTAAATTACTAGTTTGACATTTATTTTTACTCTTTTTTTGTATGTTGGTCTTACCTGACAAATTTTAAGCATATCACAAGGCAGCGTCTGGCTTACCATCTATATACTCAGTGCGTTAAAAAGGCTGGTGCAGTCTATGTGCCAGGTAGACATGAGCTGTACCGATGGAACCTTCCATGCAGTCTTTTTTGTTTTGTTCGGGTCAAATAAAGTTGTGAACATTAAACTTGATTGTTATTGACTGGTTCTTTAGCTTTTCCTGTTTCTTGACCTAACTGGTAGTGGTGGGAACAGCTCTGGTTATTTCCATAGTGAGAGTCTGACCACTGACAGGATTCACCCCAGCTCCGCAGTGCCCCCCTCTGCTTAGTCCAAGCAGGTCGAACACAGGCAGTTGCTAATTAGGTCAAGAACCAGGTTCAGTTCCTGACTTGCCCTTTACCTTCTCCCTATTCCTATATCCCATCTAGTCATCTCACAAAAGTGTTCCGATAACTGGTCCCAAGGGCAAGAAGGTAAAGCTATGGATAAA